CTTCGAGTTTTTCTCTCTCCCGCTCAAATTAGCCACCTCTAAGAAACTTCCACATACCTACTACATTTTCCCCACCACCCAACTAAAATGAAAGATTCTCCACATTCTTTCATTTATCTCACGTTCATACGGTTTCTTCACTTCAACAATTAATAACTTTCCCATCCTATATTTATTAATCATTTTCTTCTATATTTTTATTTCACTCAAACAAGAAAGACTTTGCAGTAAAATTTATAGAGCATTCTTCATATCTCAACATTTTTCTTTGGGTTGAAACACATTTGGAGGTTAAGGTAGGATACGAAGTGCAAGTGGTTGTCCCGTTTAATTTTTGTTATTTCATATTGATAAATATTTTCGTTAATGATATGAAATGATATGATACAATATGACATATATGGTCATCCGGTACAAATGATATGATATGATTGAGCTCTTGTCGGTTAAATATATGATATGACGGTACGATTTATTTTGATATATAAATGATAAATGTTATTCGGGATTGTACGAATATTTGTATCCTACTGAGTATTCCCCATACTCACCCCTTTTTCCCTACCTTACAGGTTAGTACGGGTTGTGTTGGAGTGCGGCGGTTTGATGGTGTGGTCGTGTCTCGTCTAAAGAACAAAGATCTAAAATCTAGCACGTAACCTCATTTATTTTAATTTAGTTGTCATGGAAATTTATTTATAATTAAATTTACTTTGCATGTTTATTTTTTTACATGGACATGTTTAAACTTACATTTTTAATTAAATATTTGAATTAATGGTTTCCCTTTACTGCTATTTTTCATTAGTAGTAACAAATTTTTACATGTAATTAATTATGGATAGAACGTAAAATATGCATGTCCGAAATCTCGAATCAACAAGAATGTGGGGAAATTACTCATTTTCACCGGCCACTAATAATAGTCCAATTCATCTTGCTAGCCATCCGTTATTTTCTGTGAACACTTATGATAATGTCACCTTGATTTGTATTAATTTTAATGATTAGGGTGCTATTGTTGCCTTTCAAATTGATTTATGGATATATCCATGCATGACAAATTAATGAAGACCCTATAATGACGTCAGATTAGGGGAGCTGATGCCATGTTTCACTTACTGGAGGAAAAGAGAATAAAGTATGCTTATTACCATTATTTTAACAACAATAAGGAAAATTGCTTAATAACATTTACGCATATTTCTTGCTAAAATGGAACCCCTTATATATTTTTCTTCAAAGTTCATCATAACATGATTTTTATTTCACATGTTAAGATTTCTTTAGGTTATTGACAAGGGATAACATCTTTATAAACCCATTTATTTTTTTAAGAAAACATTTGGTAGTGACTTAAGTTTTAAAAAAAAATTTATTTGATTTTTATAAAGTAAAAAAAAAAAAAATTGGGTCGCTACAGAGGTGGTATGTGATCCTGTCTCAAAGCTCACCCTATGTGATTTTCCCAACACACATGTTTCACAAAATTCAAGAGGCTCAATCGTATCCTTCCCAAGCAACTTTTGATTACTTAGATACTTTAAACCTTTATTTCCTATATGTCCCATTCTGTTGTGCCACAATTCAGATTTATTTTGTGTTCTGGTCAAAGATTTAGCATCTTGAGGGATAACTGTCTCTCCCAAAAGATAGTACAATCCATTTCTTCTTGGTCCCTTAAAGATTACCAAAGATCCTTCATAACTTTCAAGGTGTTATTTTCATATTTGAAAGAGTGTCCCTCATCTTCAAGAGATCCCAACGAGATGAGATTTCTTTTCAAATTCGGGACATGTTTCACATTCTTTAATTTCCTGACAATGCCATCATACATTCTGATAGCGATGTCACCAATACCAAGAACACTTTGAGAGTTATTATCGCCCATATATACTTTCCTGGGTTCAATTTCTTTGTAATTATTAAACCATGATTTATTAGGACACGTGTGGAATGAACACTCTGAATCCAAGATCCAGTCCTTATCAACTTCTTCATTAGACACAATCATTACAAGAAGACTCTCTAACTCAGAACAAATCGCAGAATTATTCAAATCTTCATTATTATGATCTTTTGGTTTCTTCTTCCACTCAAAGCAATCACGTTTAAAGTGTCCCATTTTCCCACAGCGGTAGCACTTTTTGTTGCTTCTATCTCATGATTTAGATCTAGTTTTTGATTTAGATTTCAATCTTTTGTTGTTTGAGTTACTTTCCTTCTTTTCAGTTCTTCCTCTCACAAACATACTTTCCTCCTTTGAACTTCTAGATTCTCTCTTGATTTCCAATTCTCGAGATCTTAACGCATTGATGACAATAGATTGCGTTAAAGCATCTCTTGAATATTTTATTGCATTCTTGATATCCCTATAGGAATCAGGTAGGGAATTAAGAAGGATCACTGCAAGGTCCTCATCTTCAAATTTTTTGTCATTATGGGAAAGGCTTTTAACCAAAATGTTAAAGTTACTCAAATTAGTTTCCAAGTCTTTTCCAACATCCATTCTGAAGCTAAACAGTTTCTCTAAGAGGTAAATTTTATTTGGCAACGTCTTAGTTAGAAACAAAGTATCTAACGCAATCCATAATTCTCTAACGGTTTTATGTTCTTCAACTTGTCTTACAATGTTATTAGATAAGTGCAATATAATAGAACTATATGCAATTTCATTTATATCTAGAATTTCATCAGACTTAGCTTTCAATTCATCAGAAAAATTTTCAGGATCTTCAAGGGCTTTAGCAACCCTTTGTTAGACCAATATGGCCCTCATTTTTTGCTTCCAAACAGAGTAATCCCCCTTTCCATCGAATTGAGACAATTCGACCTTCGAACCCATTGCAGGTTTTGTAAAAGGGTGGCTACTACTTGCGGACATAAGTGATTTTAGTATATCAGATCACTTAAGTTGCAGAAAATGTTTTGAAAAATGTTTTGCAGATAAATTCAGATAAACAGATGACAGAATGAAAAAACACAGTTATGTAGTATGCACAAATTGAATAACAGCATGATTAATTTCAGATTTCTAACAATTGGTACCAAACAATCAGATTACAGAAAATTGAAATATCCCAATACGTGTTGCTATTCCAATTAAACAATTTATTCAATTCTTGAACAAATTCAAACCGCAGTAATATTCACATATTCACATATGATTCAGGAACACATGCAAATAAAGTACTATGAACTAAATTGAAATAATCTCACCAAATACTGTGTATAACAGTATTAAATCTACTCCAGTGATTCACTGCAGAGTCGGAATTCAAAACCCTAGCTCCAAGAACTTTTTCTTATTAGACTGCACAGATCAATTAAACACATCAATATGACAAAAAATTAAACTGTATTTACAAATTCCTTACCCACACCGTACTAGGCTCTGATACCAATTTTGTTGGGATTTTTCACCCAACGTGCGATTTCAATCACCAATACGCAACAACAGCAGGAATAAAAACCATGCAGAAAATTAAAGAATGCACAAATTGTTCATCCAGTTCGGCCAAGTCACCAATAAAATAACCACCAGATCACTAGCTCAGAACACAATCCTTACTACGAAAAATATGGCCGAAAAGTAAATATAATCAGATCTGGAATTTTCCCCACCTAAGAGAATAAAATCGCCAAAATAAGAGAAGAGAGAAGTCTACCATTTCTTTAAGTAAAATGAAGAGAAAGTGAAAGTCATATTACTCTCTCTCCTGCCGTCCATATCAATTAAATGAAAGAAAAGTTAAGCTAATCTTAGCCCTCCATTTTGATCAATGGCCCATAATGTTTTCAAACAAATACACATCCTTGTGAAATATAAGTTGCCAATGGAAAGTTGCCATGTGGCCAACAAATGGAGAAAATAATTTTTGTCACTTTTAAAAACGTGAGTAATGGGTTTTGAAAAACATTTCACACCTACTTACCAGAGCAATAATCAACGAAAATAAGACCAGAAAACAAGCGAAGCCCACACACATTTAAAAACTACATCCATTATGATGCAACATTTTTTCACCATAAAGAAAAGAAGAGTACAAGGTGTTCTCACGCCTCTCATTCACAAGAACCGGTCTCCATATGTAGAGGAATGTTAGGTTGATCTGTGGGTCGACGAGTGGGGATATTTGAAAAGATGTAGCTATATTTTCTTGCAAAAAATGAAGATACAAAAATCAATGGAAAGCAGTAATGAGAAAGGATGGAAAGATTGTCATTTATAACATGAGGATGCAAAATGAACATCATTCGATGTAGATAACCTTAACAAAATAAATTACAAATTTGAGTTGGTTATGTTCACCCAATCATGCATAGCCAACGGCAGAAATTTCAAACCCCAGAAAATGGTCTGGATAAAGGTGAAAGATCTTAACCTGTTCTCAAGGTAACGCTAGCAAATGAGGCGAAAGCTCTAGTATCCTTGTATTATGGAATTCTCTTCTTCGATGATTTTTCTGGTTTTTTCTCTTCCGACATATAACATGAAAAGCAGCGCATCATCCTTTTTTCCCCTTTTGTTTTCTCACCTCAAACATAATTCCTGAGAACCCAATTGAGTAAACATGTTTTTAATCAAATTGCAATTAACCATATTAGGGTTCTAATTACATATCAAATTCAAACCCCAAATCCCTGTACAAGATGGAAAAACACCGAGCTCTGGTCTCTCAAGAAACTAAGAAGAATTGCAGGATGTTTCTTCCTCTTATTTTGAAACCATTGTCTTTGGATTCATATTTGGGATAATCAAGTTTGATAACTTACTACCTTCCCCCTCCTCATTTCAATAACTAACTTTTAAAAGTGAGTATATTGTTTAGAGTAATTCTTGTAAAATTTGATGAGACGTAAATGATTATCAGTCATGATAGTCGAGTTATACTTAAAATGTTGTCTAATTGATGTTCAATTTTAAACGTGCCCCACTTGCTCATTAGCCCAAAAATCAAGCCATAGATTATCGGTTTGAGATATAATTAGGATTATTAACATAATTATACTATTGGAGACCAGAGAAAAATAAATAAAGTAATTGTGTAGCAGGTTTGCTTGTTTGAAAAAAAAAAAAGTTGAACCCCAACCGTGAGGGCTTTCGCCATCCTACCTTTAGAACTTTGTGAGGGAAGTAAATTGCAGGATATGTCCCAACAGGCCAGGGAACAAGAGCTGCATGTACACTGCGCCTACAAGGAGTCAAATTTCATATCTTAGGAATCGAATCCCCACACTGTGGCTGCCAGCAAAATGTGAAATAACCTCACTCCTATCCTTTGCACCACTGAGCTATGTCCCGGGATTGCAGGTTTGCTTGTTTGGATAACATTATAAGTTGCTAAAATGATGATGTGACAAAATTGATGGATGAAAAGTGGATAATGATAAGGGAAATGATGTCGCCCATACAGCTCTCTCATAATTGCGGGGCTCATGTTATTTTAATCGTGGGCCCATCTCTTGTATATGAGAGGACTGTCAATTATAATGTCAAGATTGTTGTACTTGTAGCATTGCTCTAATAATAATGGGTCAAGAATATTTTGTTAATCCCTTGTTTGAGCCTCATTCGTCTAAAAATTTATTTCCAACTGCATATTTTTAAATAAAATGCAATTATACGCAAATCTAAAAAATTTTCTTGATTCTTATCTATATGTTTTCCATCAGTTTACTATTTAGAATGCATTCTTTCTGGGGTTCAAACAAGTGCTTAAAGTTGACTTCAATCTTTATGGCCTGTTTGGAAGCGATTTTTTCACCCAAAAAATTGATTTTTTGACCGTTATTTAACTATTACAGCCGTCATATTTGACTTCTTTTATTACAGGTGGACTCCATTTTTCTCTTAACGGTCAAAAAATTAATTTTCAAAATTACTCCCAAACAGATTCTGAATGCAATCCAAACAAGCAGGACTACCCTACATGTACAGGGCTTTTTTTGCCAAATATTTTACAAGTACTCACATTGGTGGGGCTCGTGTTAATTTTTTTTTTTTAATACATATGGGGCCCTCGCTACAGTGAGGGCCGTGTACTTCGTATCATGGCCATCGAATTCGAAATTCAAAACCCTAGCCATCTGCAAATTTTACACATCTTTGGTTTTGTGATCTCCCCTAAATCTTAATACTAAAAAATGGCGTTTTTCCCCGGAAATTTCATTTGCAAAACTGCAGTTCAATATCAATACCGAGTATTTCTGATTCCCTGGTGAGTTTCTTTAATTTTTTTTTATTATATTTCTTATTTTTTTCCCCTCCAACACATTCAAACACAACAATACATATAATTTTTCAACAAAAAATCACTGTTATTTTTAGTATAAAGATTTTATTCTCAGGGTCAAAAGAAACAGCAGGTTAAACTGTTCAAATGGCAGAGACTACAATGCTTCAGTTCCGGTGAGGTACATTCCCAAGAAATCTTCAAAATGCGAAGATTCAAAAGCTACTTCTTTGCCGGCGAAGCATTTGAAGCACAGAGAAAAGCTTGATACAGTTTCAGAGCTGAATGTGCAGAGAGTTGAGTTCTCCAACAATTCGCACCGGAGCTTTGTTTTGAATCCTAAGACCCTGCAGCATGATCGGAGTCCTATTGGAAACATGCATTGTGGTGTTGAACTTGGTGCGCTTTTTATTTATGAAGCCATCATTTGATATTTTGCCCCAGTTTGAGCCCAATATTTGATGTTATAATTTTATTATTATTTTTGAGAATGAGTGGTTAAAAATGAAAAATATATTTATTTACGGGTAATATTATTTTATTGAAGAATGTGTGGTCACAAAATTTAAAGGGGCTCAAAAGGGACTTTATGCAATTAATTGAGTAATATACTTATAATTAGTTGGGAAATATTAGAAAATGAAGAAGAAATTGAGGGCAATTTTGGAGATTTGGGCTGTGAATTGATGGAAGAACCTCTGGAGGTCTCTGAGGAACTCAAAGTTAATCATGGGAAGGATCCTGGCAAAAAAATTATGGGGATTCGAGCTGGTAAAAGTAAAGAAGAAGCGGAAAAGTTGGCTATTGGATTACTTGCAACAAGGTTAGAATAATGCTTAATCAGTGTTTTGAGTATGATGATTTGTTCTCTTTGTTGATTTTTGGAATCGGATACGAATACTTTTTCATCCCCAAAATAATATCAAAATCATATGAATCTGGCAGAATATGACAAATTCTATTAAGTAGCTTAGGTTAGAGGTCAACTTGTGAAGAAAACCTGAATTCAATAATCAGTCCAATAGCTAAGGTCATCCAGCATATTTTGCATAATAGTCAGATGCATAACTTTTGATGGCCAAGCCAAGATCTCACTTATCCTCATATGTTCTGACAGTTTGATACTTTTTCAATCTTCTCTGTCGAAAGTTAAGTCACAGCAGTTAACAGATTGCACATGTTTCTTCAAAGTTGTCTGTAGTTATACTTTCTTTGTAGCAGAAGGATATGTGTCTGAAGCATGGTTTTGCACTATGTAGAGCATTTACAGCTATGGAGATGAAGAAAAAACTACTAGGAAAGGGGTTTCCACTTGATAGTGTTGATTCAGTGGTTACAGACTTCCAAAGCAGGTAGAATAAAAATTGCCAGTTTCCTTCAAGAAACTTGGTTCACTTCTGATTTTTATTTTTATTTATTTTTGTTTTTTTGGGGGATTTTTATCAAGAAACTTTTACTCTCTAAAAATTGTTTTGTAACCTATTTTGACGTTTGTGGAAAGTTTTTGATGGTTGTGATTTGTTGTAGGGGTCTGTTAGATGACTGTTTATATGCGGAAACATTTTGTCGATCCAGATGGTCTTCCTCAAGCTGGGGTCCTCGACGAATTAAGCAAGTAAATTTTCCTGTTTGTTACTCCTTGAACTGCATAAATGTGTATTAGCAAGTTATTAGGAATTTTTTTTTTTTTTTTTGTCGAGAATAAAAATGTACATTTATTGCCACGCGTAATTGCCATAATTCAATTGTGCAGTTGCCTGGTGTGTGTATTTCCTGCCATTTTTGTTTGAAATTCAAGAATTTCAAATCCCATTTTTCACCAATTGTCATCCTCTAAAAGGAGCTCAAGATAACCAATTTTTAGGATCACAGTAAGCTTAAAATCTCTGATTTTCCCAATTTTTTTTTAAAGTTGATCTCTATTTGAGTTAAAGTTACGTCATGGAACTGGCTATTGCATGATTGTGTCACTGATGTATCTTTGTTTAAGCCGTTTTACTATAGAATTATTGATGGACATTTAGAAGTTATGCTTTTGTAGTTGATTGCGTTATTATCTTTCGACTAGGCATTATTGAAGAAGGGAGTAAAGGAAATAGTTGCAGAGAAGGCAATAAAACTAGTTTTCGTGGGTGGTGAATCTGGTCTAGATCAAGATTCAAGAATTGGTATGTCTCAGGCATCTATTGATCGTCTATGTCATCAGGCCTCAAAGCAATGGTTACGAAGTCGTGATGTGCCTCTAGAGACTCGAAAATCAAGAATTGTTCGATGGCTTCAATATCGGGGATTCAATTGGAATGTTGTTGCTATTGTACTGAAGAAGTTAGAGTCTGAGCATCTTTCATGATGCAGCCTCATTGTTTACTGTATTTCAAATGGGTTAGAGATCCTAACAGTAATTTTGCCTATATTATTGGTAGGAGGCTGTTGGCAGGATCTAGATATGTAATGGAGACTGGAATAATGATTTAAAGTTTGATATGTGATACAAGTCAGAAATTGTACACCTTTGTTTCACTTCAATGGATTTGTCAGAATTTTGTATGCTATACATGGATTTATCAAAATTTTGTATGCTATACAGCCCTTTCCAATCTTTGTCGCGACGAACCAAATGGTGTTTTAAAAAAATTCACTTTATTCAGTGCATTTAGATATATATTGAAATATTTAAGGTCAATGAAATGGTTCGTGAATTTGAAGTTCAATTTTTATGTTGGGTTCGACGAAACCCGTATGATAGAATAGATTAAATAAAAAATACACGTTCTTTGCCCCTTGGGGCATAATCCAACGGTGTAAAAGATAGGAGTGAGGTAATCTCAATTTTGTTGGCAGTTACAGTGTGAGAGTTCGAATTCTGAGATATGGAATTGGACTCTTTGTGGACACCAGTGTACGAGCAAGCTCTTATTCCCTGACCTGCTGAGGCACATCCCGTGATTTACCTCCCTTACGATTCTCTAGGGACGGGATGGTGCGGTCCTCAAAGTTGGTGTTCAACTTTTTTAAAAAAAAATACATGTTCATCTCATTTAACTTCCTTCTCTCTTTCCTTTTATAAAATGACTAAAAATTCACTTTATTTGGCTAATTTAGATATATTGAAATATTTAAGGCCAATGAAATGGTTTGTGAATTTGAAATTCAATATTTATGTTGGGTTCAAGCAAACTCGTATGATGAATAGATTAAATAAAAAATATATGTTCGACTCATTTGCTTGGCCTCCATTAAATTATAATTTATTTTTATCTCTCTTCTTATCAATCATTCTCTAATAAAATAATATTTCGCGTAAAACTAAAACTTTTTCATCATTTAAGTTTTAACCATACATTCTCAAAAAAATTATCATTACAAAATCAAATTATCATTATAATGAGTGAGTAATGGGGGCCAAACTGGCACTTAATACTAGGTAAGTTTTGGTAACAAAATGCTTTCTTTGAATGAAATTCAAGAAGTATTTATAAACAGTTTAAATATATATAAATATAAATGAATGATGAATAAATAAATAGTAATTGTGAATCTCTTTAAATGTGAGAATAAAAAATTTATTTGAGCATTTATAAATAGTTTGTAAACCTGAGCCAAATATATAGGCCGATCAGTCTCAGTATTTAAAAAAAAAAAAAAAAAAAAAAAAAAAAAAAAAAAAAAAAAAAAAAAAAAAAA